AGTACTTGGGTAGGAAAAAATTACAGCGTCTTCCTGGACGAATTTATGAATTTCATCTTAGCATCAAGAAAATGATTAGTAAACTGAAAATAATCAGTATAAAATAAATAGACACAATATGTTTATATTATTTAATCTATATATATATATATATATATATATATATATATATATATATATATATATATATGGTAATTGAAAAGTAACTCACTATTTTATATATGATGCACTCTCCCATCTTGTAAAAAATTATAGCTAAACGGGAGAGTTCATCATACATAAAATAGTTACTTTTCAATCATGTTGTACATATATATATATATATATATATATATATATATATATATATATATATATATATGTGTGTGTGTGTGTGTGTGTGTACTAGCAGTATAACCCATATTCGACCGGGTCTTTCATTACTGGGAATTTTTGCCGTTCAATTAGAGCAGTTTAAGTTTAAAGTCAGACCACCCGAAAATCAATATTAGTAACAAAATTTGGGTGAAACTGAGGCACATCCCCAAGTGGGGGGTTAAAAATTTGAATGGGGAGGTGGCCTTGAAAAGTTTTTTGTGTTCCCAATCTTGTTTCAGCCTCACGCACAGCAGCAATTGAAGAGGCGTTTCACCTCAGCCGTTGAGTCCCTTGATCAACAGTTTCGGCTTCGCGCGCAGAAGCGTTCGAATGAAAACTGCAGAAACGCATAAACAACATACGATCACACACATACATACATACACATACATACATACATACACACACATACATACACACACCTTTTGAGAATTCTTGATATAGATAATATTATTGTAATAATATAAACGATTTATTTTTATTAATTTTTTTATGAAAGATATATATCGAAGAACAGATAGTAAATAGTAAAACTTTGCTGAGAGTTATAAATGGACAGGAAGTAGTGGAGAGCCATTGTCGCCAACAATTTGGACTCAAAATCGGCAGTGAAGAATTATCTATCAAACAAAAAATTTCATCGAAATCGGATGAAAACTGTGGAAACGCATTAACAACATCCGATCATACACACACACACACATACATACACACACACATTTTGACAATTTATATATATATATATATATATATATATATGTGTGTGTGTGTGTGTGTGCAAATATATAGAACGGGTTGGAACACGTTAGGTAAATAATCCGGAGTTCTTTAGTATTTTTGTTTTTATTTTTAAAAAACAGTGCTCCATACAAAAGTAGAACTTATATATACAGTGTAACCCGGATATAAGAGAGTTGTTGGGACCGTAGAAGAAGTCTCTTATATCCGGGTTTCTCTTATATCCGGGTTTGGTCTATTTTATATACATTAACACAGGCTCTAATTTGGGACCAGAGAAAATCTCTCTTATATCCGGGTTTCTCTTATATCCGGGTCTCTTATATCCGGGTTACACTGTATCTGTATATATTTCGTGTATATTGAGTCTTTCTCGACATATGACGTTTTTTAATGTTGCTAATATATTTTCCCATTGTGGATAATATTAGTTTTGGTGATAATTAATTCCTGATTTGCTCCTAAATTTAAGCACACTTTCATCCCTAAGTGAGTTCGAACCCTGTTGACTGTAGTTGGCAGGTAGTAGACACTCACTACAAATAAAGTCAAAATTCTTTTTTCTTTTTTACTGTTTTCTTTTTTACTGTTTTCTTTTGTTTGTTCTTAGCCAGATTCATTTAAGTAATTCTTATTCGTCAAATTCTATTTCGTTAGGACTTAGTTTATTTTCAGTCGGGTTAGAATATTTCTGTTGGCAGATGTCAACGTAATCAAGATTAATTTCAGAAAACAAAATTTGACATTAAAAACAGTTTAAGTTTGCAAAAGTAATTTGTATTTTTAGTGACTGGCTTCATGCTATATTAAGGCAATTAAAACCAAAATAAGAAAAACTTGCAAAAGATATTTAAATGCTTTTTTAAAAATACGTCCATCATCAGACTGTGGCTTGTTTGTTTCCAACCTATTTATAAGGATCAGATTACAAATTATTATACTGTTTAATGCGGAAATATTTAGGGGTTATATGCAGACATAAAAAGGGCGTGTCTGCCTCCTATTTATAAATCTGAACGAAAGACAAAATCGTGGCATGTTTTGTGCATTACAAAGCTGCCGACACTGGGTTTATTTTTGTGTTTTTTCTTTTACTCTCTCTCTCTCTCTCTCTCTCTCTCTCTCTCTCTCACACACACACACACACACAGACTCTCTCTCTCTCACACACACACACACACACACACACACACACACACACACACACACACTCTCCCTCTCCCCCTCTCTCCCTCCCTCTCACACACACACACTCTCTCTCTCCCTTTCTCTTTCTCTCTCCCTCTCTCGCTCTATCCCTCCCCCTCTCTCTCTCTCTCGTCATCATTATATCTCTTAATTCCTTGGGTAACATAAGGTCGCAACAACCCCTCGCCAACGGACACCGTTCCGGGCGATCCTCTTCAGCTCGGCCCATGTCGTGCCGGCTGCCTTCCCGGGGGATTTTCACCAGCACTCGTCATACGCTCCACTTTGGAGGACTCTTTCCCGGCCATGTCATTGTTTGAAGATGTCGTTGAGGTTTCTATAACAAGCTAGTTTGTTTTTTTTTGTTGTTTTTTTTTTAAGTGAGTAGGTTGTTAGCATAGTTCACCAACCCCCAACCTGGAGGGCCAAGGTGTGTCTTTCGTCCAGCTCCTACCCCACAAATCTGTTGAGCTTGGTTGAACCTGCTAAGGGCCGAAGCCTCCGCTCACATATCTCTGTAGGTCGTTGAAGCACGTAAGCCGTCATACCGCCTCAAGGCGACATACTATTAGGACAGCTCTTGCTTCATATCTGGTCAAATTTTTCTCTTACTTTCAACTTAATCTATTGGATATTAATTTGTAAAAAAAATCTAATATTGGAACCAAAAGGAATAGTTATTACTAAACAATCTAAGCGGAATATATGATTAGAAATTGTCAAGGATGACAATAGGTGTAACAGCTTTTAGCTACTACTATCTAGGAAGATAATAATGGATACTTAAGTTTTCTCATTCAGTCGAAATTTTTCAGATATCTCAATTTTTATTTTTAGATCGACCATATACTACAACTCACACACATTTCCATGTGCATGCTGATATGCAAAAGGAAAAATTGACGATATAATTTACCAAAGACTATATGTTTTATCAATGCAAAAGCTATTGATAAAGTAAGTCACAAAGAACTGCTGGAACTACCGGGAAACCTGTTGGGGGGATATTAGAATAATCCAGAACTTGGCAGCAAATCGCCTGCATACGAAATAAGTGCAGTAAAAATACAAAAATGGCGTATGTCCATGATGCGTCTTCACACCAGACTTGGTCAACCTATACAGCGAGGCCATTCTGAGAGAATTAGAATTCCTGCTAGGATACGTTATTAGTAACCACAATCTTAAGAACATAAGATATGCAGGTGGTACAGAGTTGATGACAGGCAAAGAAAGGAAGCTACAATACAGAAAATAGAAACAGGTAAAGGCGAGAAGAAAGGACTAAACATCAATAGAAAGAAAACTGAACACATGGTTGCTAGCAAAAGGGACATCCCAACATGCAAATTACATAGTGGGGATAACGAAATCAAACAGGTGCAACAATGTAGATATCTAGGCGGCGTATTAACAGAGGTCAGAAAGTACGATACGGAAATACGATGGAACATCGGGATAGCGAATGATGCCTTCCAAAAGCTGAACAAAATATTAAAATACATAAAAATATCGTTACAAACAAAGAAAAAGGGTACTGAACTGTTATATAATATCAGTCTTCCCGTATTGCAGTGAATGCTGGACAATCTCCTCACAGATGAAGAAGAGATTTGAAGCAAGAGAAACAAAGAAAAGAATACTGAACTGTTATATTATATCAGTCCTCCTATATGGGAGTGAAAGGTGGACAATCTCCTCACGGATGAAAAAGAGACTTGAAGCAAGAGAAACAAAGAAAAATAAAACAGTACTGAACTGTTACGTAATATCAGTCCTCCTATATGGTAGTGAATGCAGGACAATCTCCTCACAGATGAAGAAGAGAATTGAAGAAAACAAAGGAAAGTGTACAAAAATGTTATGTAATATCAGTCCGCCTATATGGCTGTGATTCACAGATGAAGAAAGGACTTGAAGCAACAGAAATAAAGAAAAGATTATTGAACTGTTACGTACTATCAGTTCTCTTATGTGACAATGAAAGCTGGACAATCTCCTTAAAGATGAAGAAGATAATTGAAGCAACAGAAACAAAGAAAAGAGGACTGAACTGTTATGTAATATCAGGCCGCCTGAATAACAGTGATTACAGGACAATATCTTCACAGATGAAGAAGAGACTTCAAGCAACAGAAACAAAGAAAAGATTATTGAACCGTTATGTCATATCAATCCTTCTATATAGCACTGAATGTTGGACAATCTCTTCACAGATGAATAAGTGACTTGAAGTGACAGAAACAAAGAAAGGAGAACTGGACTTTTATATGATATCGGTCCTCCTATATGGCAGTGAAAGCTGGACAATCTCTTTATAGATGAAGAAAAGTTTTGAAGCAACAGAAATCTGGTTCTACAGAAGGATGCTGAGAATACCATGGACAAAACATGAGAAACGACGATATTCTAAAGAAAATCGAAACCAATAGAGAACTTATACATGACATCAGTAAAAGACACTTGAAATTTCTGGGGTGTATAAAGAAAGAGGGCTTAGAAAATTCGATATTGACAAGGCAGATAGAATATAAAAGGGACAAAGCAAAGCAACGCACAATCTAATTAGAGAGTTTGAGTGAATGGTTGAGGGATGAAGATTTGGGAGAAATGGTAAAAAGATAAAAGACAAAGTATGGGAATTTGTGGACAAGCGTCCTGAAAAGACAGGACACATAGAAGAAGATAATTCTAAAGAATTATTTACATTCCCACTT